GAACGATTCGATGGCATCCCAATAAGAGCAAAATCGCCGGAACATTATACCGGCAGTGTTGGTATTGCAACGTCTTAAACGATGCTTCGCGGGAAGAAAATGTTAAAGAGAGAGAGAGAGAGAGAAAGAGATACTCGGTTGGAAAATATTTCGCGCGATACCACGGCGCGAAACTGTGTGTGTGTACGTCACCGAATCGGCCGCCACCGGTCTTTCGCGATGTTCATTTTCCAGTCTTGCCGGGACGACCACCGCGCCGACTATCCAGTCGTGAAAGGCTATTATTCGACGATTGTTCCGGCGTTGGTTACGACGACGTATCGCCGATTCGAATCGAACCGAGCCGGAATCGTGGTTCTCGCCGTTAACGAAGTGTCAACGGTTAATGATATCGCGCAAATGGAATCGCGCAACCTTGCGGGTGAACTATCGGCGAACGCCGCGAAATTAATTGGTTCACCTCGCGTTCCCGCTCCCCCCCTCTCTCCCTCCCCCACTTCTCTCTCTGTCCGGGCGTCCTCCACCTTGTTGGCCCGGTTCAACGGAAGAGCGTTCTTCGATGAAATTATTTAATTAGAAATTGACTTCAATTAAACGAACAGGAATCGCGGGGACGACGAGGAGTTTAATACACGGATACCGGCGGCCGACTAACGCAATAGCGGCACCGAGGCAGCAATAATTCTGATATAATATCGTTACGTTTACGAAGGAGGGTAATGCTGTTCCAATTTCTTGTAATATCGCCAACCGTATCTCGTCGTCCGGTATTATAACCTGAATTCTTCTCTCTCTCTCTCTCTCTCTCTCTTTCTCTCCTCCCTTCTCCAACTCGCCTCGCCACGGCAACCGGCTGTATCTTCCACCAGGTTGCCGGAGATTTTATTGCCACTTTTATTGTGACGGTGTATAGGATTAATCGCGTTTCTCTTTATAACGTCGTTGTATCGACCGGGCTAAATCCCTCGCCCGCTTGAAATCTTAATGCAGGTCGCGTGTCCCGAGAGGCTTTGTTTTCCTTTCTCGTTAATTATTCGATCAGATTGTTGCCATCCGTCGAATCTACTCCACCATCTGCCGCGTAATTATTTTATCGTAATTTCACCGCTGATCCTCCGCCGTCTCTCTCTCTCTCTCTCTCTCTCTCTCTCT